AATTAGATTAGGCGTGATATTAGAAATTAAGAAAGAAACAGGGAAGGCTGAAATCATAAAGAATAAGAAATTCATAATTGAAAATAATTTTTTTAAACGAGAAATCTCACAAATGAGAGTGTGTAGTAAAACAACGACTAAATGAAAAGAATGAAGTAATTTATCTCAACTTTTCAAAAATAGAAAATCCTTTTGCAAATTGTAAAATGAAAACGAAACGAATTGAATTTCTAGAATAGTACCAAAGAAATGGGTCGAGTGGAAAAATGTGAAAGAAAAACGACGATCACAATGGAACCCGAACCGTTCGTCATAAGCAATGTACAACAAGTTAAGCGCTATACAAACAAGAAAACGCAATTACTTACATACCCATAGTTCCAGTGAACAACTCAGTACTTCTGACCGTTTTACATTAATTAATTCGAAACGAACAGACCACATTCAACAACAACAACAACACGAAGAAGTTTGCAAAATTCACTCAAGCAAAAACTCAAAATCTGACGATGACGCGTTATTTTAAAGGAAAACTGAGCACAAATTCAAAATCGCTCAATGTTTACTGACAATTTGGTGAGTTGCGAGCGAAAATCACGACGACGACAACTGAATCGATTGACAATTCGATGAGACAATCAAAGCAAAATCTGGGTTAATGAATGAACGATTACTTAGAAAAATATTGCCTTAAATCAGTTTAAATTTCGTAAAAATACCATAACATAATGATTCCACACCCACCCACCCATACACAAAATTCTATACAGCAGATATAAACAAAGACAATGGATAAACTATCATCACAATGCAATGTTAACCATAATTTAATTGATCACAGAATCTGATACTAAAAATTTACCGGTAAGAAATATTAATCACTACATCAATAAGGATTGATTGCAAGACGACTCGTATGGTTATAGGACAAAAACGCGAACATAAGCATGATCAAGAAAGACGACTCAAAAGTGCTACAAAAATGGTATATCACATCCTGGATTTATTATCACTATTATCTTTCTGTTGAGTAACACTAGACTGATAATGATAAAAGCGTTATCAGTATCACTACTAGTATAGTTTGAAAACACCGTCAATACCTGCATATATGTGTTACGCACTGCGCAAAATGTATTCCAGTCGCACTGCAACATCATTACCTCTTAATACGATCACTAAAACGAAACAACATCAACATTGAATGGGTGAACAAAGCGAACAATTACTACTACCATATTCGTGTGGTCGCCCACACACATAATACCGTAATCACAACAGAAAGTATCATAGCATCACCACACTTGTACCCGAACAGCCAATCAGATCTCTGCAGAGGTCAGCCAATCAAAATAGAGAGCCGCAATCGCGCGCCCGTTTTAATGAGGAATCATTCCTCTCTCTCTTAATACGGCTGAGTCACGGAATTGAACTAATATCTTAAGTGATAAATTGTACTATTTCCTCCAATTCAAGCATCTCAACTTTGCAGTTTTTCATTCTATACTTAGGAAACCTTCCCAATGACCAGTTTTGGAAACTGTACGCAAACCTCAGTCTCATCTCACGTTTGGATGCTATCATGGAGACAAATTTTGATCAGTGAATCGCAAATATCAACAAAACCAACGACTTTTACCTCCCTATGGTCGAAAAGCAATGCAATGATCACTTTTATTGGACACGTTCGATTTTGACTAACCATCAGCTATGATACCTTAATGACCGTACAAACAGTCAGTGTACAAAGGTTCTCTTGCACGAAACTTACTTCATAGACTGAATTCATCGAATAATACCCACACACACGCATCGCTGTTTCGATTGGGACTGTTGGTTGGAAACTAGTTTCTTTAGAAAATGATTGAATATAATAAAAAAGATGTTATGAAATTTAAAATTTAAAATTAGTAACATTCTGACAGTAACAAATCAGCAGAAACAATACATATACAGTGCAATAAAATAACAATAACAATAATAAACAGACATCAATTAACTCTTGATGAGATACATTCAATCATTTAAGAATCAATGATAATGTATCTATTACTCAGATAAATATCGAACTTGATCAATGGATAAATCAATAAGCGATCCATCCGATCGATCAATCAATAAAACGAAACAATTAATGAATGAATAATAATTCCTGAACAATTGAAACGTTTCGGTGATAGACAACAGACATCATTTAACAAAGACCCGATCGAGCAAGTTGATGAATTTGTTTCATACTGAGAAATGAACATAAGCAAAATAAAAACAATAATAATAACAACAACAACAAAACACACAACTTATCGTTAAACTATCACCTAAAATCACTTCATTCATCACTGATCAATCGATTATCATTCACTGATTCTGTTTTCATCAATGAGTTATAAGGCCGTTCAGGTCGAGTGGGCAGATTCGTACAATTTTACATATTCATCGTCAGTATTTCACGACTCAAAAACAAAAAAGAAATTTGTTCGACGGCAATCAAGCAAATAACATACTATCATCTAAAATTATATCGGACTGGGATCAAAATCTGATAGCGGTGATGCAACGGATATGTCGTCGAATATGTCCGAATCGTCATGAATATTGGATTCAAGGAATAATCGAAACGACCAATACTTTTTTTGAAGCTCAGCAATATTGTTATTGTTATTCTTCTCATTATTACAATCAATTGACTTTACACACACGCACAGACACACTTAAGTGGTGATGAAAATACTTTTATAAATACAAACACACACACTATTACAGTATACACATGTTGCGTTGAAAGCTTCTCTGCTCTATATATCTATGGATCATACAGAAGCCGATAAATGGCATCGACGATCACTTTAGACACCGCAACTTCTTGCGGCCAGAACACTGGCCAAAGTTTGCGGTTGCATACCCGGTGGCATCTGAAGGGAGTTCATCGAGGCTTGCGCGACAGCCGCCGAATTAGCGCCTTGACTTAGTGCTAGTAACGAGGTGACCGCACTTTGCGACATCAGACCAACGCCATTCGGTGATCCCAACAGATCGTTACTATCCGTCACATTCGGATTGTTGGAAGTGGATGACGGCTGTGTGGATAAGTTTTGTTGCTGCTGTGAGGTTTGTGATTGATGTTGTTGCTGTTGTTGCTGTTGCTGGACTCGTTGCTGCTGACTGACTGGTGAGGAACCGTCCGGGGTTCGTGGCGAATGGTGTTCACTTAAACGAAACAGCTAGACAGATAATTGGAATCTCATTAAGAACATAAATTTAATGGAAAAATTGCAATGAAATAACCGTTGACTTCGAGAAATATGAATATTTCAATTGCCCACAGTTAATTGCTGTTATCAAATTTTCCCTGTTCATGCGCTAGTCTATACTGGTAAAATTTTTTTGATCATAAATCCTGACTAAGAACCAAGTATGGTCAGTGCAATACGAAGGTTAGACAAATCAGAATTATTCATCTAACGACAAGAATAACAACGAACCAATTGACCAACCTATTGGTATTGATAGGTGATTGATTGCTGAGGTGTGTCAATTGTTGCTGTTGTTGATTCGCTATTGTAGCGGCTATTGAGAGAACACCGTTAGCATGCGTTGCTTCATGACCCATCTGTTGGGAGCGTTGACGAAACGATCTGCCGCAGAACTGACACGAGAACGGTTTGGCACCCGTATGGATGCGTTCGTGTTGATCGACGTGTGACTTTTGCGTGAAACGTTTGGGACAGTAGTGACATTGATAGGGTCGATCGTTCGAGTGGATTCTCAGATGTTGCTGTAAGCCGCCACGAGCCTTGAAACGTTTACCGCACTGTTGACATTCGTGCATCCGCATCACCCGACACTCCTCCATGTGCACTCGTAACTGCAATCAATTTAATAATGATAATGAAAGTATTAATAATAATGATACCTTGATGACCAAATAATGCCTAAAGATGTCATTATTCCTATTCTGATTGCTTGAAAAAAACAAGCGTATCTCAGCGCTAGTATAAAATTTCATTCGTATAATCAATTTGTACTGTGCTGGACTCGTCTAGCATTCTACACTGCACACATCTAATTACAATTGCACAATTCACTATCATATCATTGAGAATAAAGGTTTTCCAGAAAATTTTGAAATTTTATGAACATTCCGATGAAATTTCATGAGTTACAGCTTGAGCGAAACATACAAAGTGATTCGGCGGACAATTAGGAACGATGCAAAACACTGAAACTGTAAGAAAATTCTGCATAAATATGTGAATATGTGAAAATTTTCGATTTTAAATAACTGAATATATGTAATAGTATTATAATTCTTGAATTTTCATGCTATGGATATTCAAATTAATCTTTTCAAGATCAGTTTGCAAGCACTTCAAACTGTATTTTTCTACGATCATTGCCGGTGTCCGGTTGTTTAGTTTGATTTGTCCTCTTTAGCGGACAACAATCAAATCAGCTCAAAATAGGTTTGTTCATGTTTGTTTTGTAGGGTTTACACGATATCAATTCTTCAGCTAAACTTCCAGAGAATAATTGTTCAGGTGTTTTCAGATTCATAGTACTCACTCCATCATCATCACAATATCAATTTGCAGTCTCTCTCGCAATCAATGATAATGACACAAAATGAAATGCTTGGCGAGCGACTCACGCAAAATTTACACGTAATATAATACGCTAATAATATTACCTAACATTCACACGTAATATTATTACCTTACCTCGCAAGGTAAGGTAATAATACGCTAAATTTATGAAGTTTCCTTGTCAGATCATGTAAAATTCACAGGAATCCTCCATCTGTTCGATTCTAATATACACTGAAACCTAACTGATGACCAACTGATACATCGGAGGAAAGATCTTCAAAACTGAAAACGACTAGCGGAAATATTTCAGTTCCGAAGTACGAGGACGTTTGATAGTAGTAGCAAAAATAATCGTAATGATAAGAATAATGATAAGAACAGTAAAAGTGATGTGAAACAAACACTGGATGCGGGAAAGCGACGAAAACGTTACAAGCATCCCGTGGAACAAGTGCACGAAATAATCAAGTATTTAAAAACAACAAACGTACACGAAATTCGATTAGAACAACAAGAAATTGTCGAAATTTGCTATCGAACACGGGAGCAGGTTGATTCTTATTTTTATAGGGATAATAATACACTGTTAAGTAAATCATTTTTCATTTTTGCTTTAGGCATTTGTGTGCATTTTGATCTGTTTGACTGAGTTGTTCATTTTTTACTGCTTATACTTTCGTTGAATTGTTCACAAAGTTTGATTACAATTAAAGATTAACAATTGATTACAGCTAATGAAAGACGAGTCTATGTTAGAAATAAATGCACCGTTGATATTAGTGGGTGATGTTCATGGTCAGTATGAGGATTTAATGGGCGTATTCGAAATGAACGGTTTTCCGCCTGATAAGTAGGTTTTATTCTTTTATCTGGGTATCGTATCCTTATCAATGGCTATGTGCCTCATCAATATTGAGATTTGCTATGACTCAAGCAGTTTTGACTCATATCTATCTCCTAATCACCTAAAATTGAAATGTTTTAGTATGCGCTATCAAAAAAGGTTTCTGTACAGTGACTTCAAATCATTGAAAATGAAAATGATTTTCATGCTGATAAGGCGCAATAACTTCATATCGCTCATATGATTTCAAATTTATGAGAAGAAGCGATTGAGAGCTGATTGAACTGATTGAATTCAGACGTTTTTTGTTTCTTGGTGACTATGTGGATCGTGGTGAGAATTCAATTGAAACAGCCGTATTGTTATTTTGCTTGAAATTGATATATCCGAATGAAATATTTCTACTACGTGGTAATCATGAGACGAAATTAATTAATCGGTATGTGATGCCATTTTACACACTCAATGTTTACAGAAACTTGAATTCATAAAATGCTTCTGTGCTCAAATTCACGGTCATTCACACCTAAAGCTATGTGCAATTGAATTGTAAGTCAACGCAACTTCTAGAGTGTATGGCT